TTTATTTATTTATTATTTTCAAACATTTACATAGTTATTTATTTAATTAGGATTTTATAATTTCATATTTGTACTGGGTAATTTCATGAATCCACACATAGCTATAGACGACCTTGGTCCTCGGAAACGTAGGGACCCATAGCATATTGATTTCGGTCTGATCAGTCATGTAGTGCCCAGCGCAGGATAGTGTTTGAGACTATAACATTCATGAAATTATTCATTAATAATTCGTTTTCTTTTAATAATTGTCATTATTATTATTATTATTATTATACTTATCTTTTCTTCGGGCATAGCAAAAGCACAAATATCGATGATAATTTTCAAGACATTAGGATATATTACCCCCTTTATAATTATTCCTTTAAAATTTTCCCTTTTAAAATTTTTAATTTAATTAGTAAATTCTTTAATGTCAAAGGATCAAGCAACAAAAGAAAACAAATACTTTCCAAGGAAGAATTAAAACACTTGGAGGAGTATTATGACAAACAGGAACACTAATGAAGAAAAACAAACAAAATTTGACATTGAAACAAAAGGACCCATGGAGTAACATCTTTGTTTCAAGTTATTGGTCCAATGAGCAACACAACAACTTGTCACTTATTAGTAGAAAATATTCCATTCAACAAAAACCAAAAACTTTATTAGGATTCAAAAATAATTACAGTTTTTGCAACAATAAACTTATCCGTTGTTTGGATTACCAAAAGGAATACTGTTAGGATTAAGTTTGAACCATTCAGGATTAATAATCCAAGTAGGGGACTGTACTGTAGTATCTAAAACCCAAGGAATGGGAGGAGGTGGTGCTGGCACAGGAATCTCATTTTCTTTCAAAATATCTTGAAGTTGGGTAACATGTGTTCGAAGGGAAAAAATTTCAGCTTGATAAGCCTTTTGTTGACATGAATGTTGACGGAGTCAGGTGATATTCGCTTCTAAAAGTGAATAAATTCTTTCTCAGTATTGGACGCCATGAGATCACATAAAAGTTTTTAATCGGGTGTTACGGACACACACATCTTTATATTTGTTCTCGAGGAAAACTAATTCTGCATGAAGTTTTTGAAGTTCTTCTCGAAGGAGGAAATCTTGGTCTTGTAAGAAGGTGATTTGAGCCTAATGCTTTGGACATTTACAGCCAATAAGCAAATGACCTAAAAATTTAATTTTCTCCTGAAAGAGCATGATACAACTGACCAAAGGATTCTCATGGTTAATAGCACGAATAATACGATTAACTCTAGGCATAATGAAAAGAATGAAAACAAAAATGTTTGGAATAACAGCTAATTAAATAGTGAGGAAAACCCTAAAAATTCTCACCAAGGAAAATTCAACCAATGGGAAAATTTTGACGATGAAAAAACAAAACAAAGGAAAATTCTGTCAACGTGAGAAAATACATGAATCTGAGATTATTCCAAGTCTAAATTTGGATATGGATTCATGTGAGAAAATTAAACAATGTTTAAATGATTATCCGATTGGTGCTCAAATGGATTAGGAAAACGAATAATCAATGAAAATCCAGTAAAAACCGGATATAAACAAGGATCTACGCCACAACACATAAAATTTTGGGGCAGTAACACATGATTACTTATTATTAATTAATTAATAATTAATTAATTTGTTCTTGAATATGCAGGAGCACATTCTCGAAGGAGGGGAAAATGTTATCGAATAATTAAATTCGATAATATTATATTATTTTTATATATTTTTATATTATTATTTTATCTTCTTTTAAC